ACTGACCTGAAGTGGAGAGACCGCACCAGGACATGAGAGGCTGTAGGTAGCTGTCCATACCATGGAAATGGTGTGTGTGTGTGTGTCATTGCGCGCCAGTGCTGGTAAAAGCAGCACTGTCAGCAGGTGAAATTGATGCTAATGCTGTTAACGCTGTGTTTACACTCTGATTGATGCTGAGAGGTAGTAAATCAGACCGATATAACCACTGCTACCACTGTTAGTACCTATTAGCGCTGCTTCAATAGCAATCATCGTCATCTAGTACATTTTTGTTCAGCGTAGGGCCAACAGTGACCAACAGTTAATTAATATAATAAATAGTTCATCAAAGTAAGAAAATACATTGCAAAAGTTGATGTTTCTTTACATATTTTATAGCATTGGCTTTACAAAGGGGGACCCTGGCCAGAAGCCAATACTGTTTTTCGGGGGCTTTGGCATGGAAAAGTTTGGAAACCCCTGGTCTAGTAGTTAAGGCTAGGACATTGGGTAGTTATGTCAAAGCTTAACATTAACGCTGGAACATTTCCTCTGTAAAAACAGTAGGGTTGCTCAAGTGTGTCAAAGTGGGAGGAGATTGACCTTTTCTCCTGGCGCAGATTAAAGATTCAGGTCTCTTTGTTGAGCCATGTTCTCGCTGTAAATCCAAGCAACAGCCAGCGGTGCTAGGTGCTTTGAATGTAAATTTGTTTGCCATGGCTGCTGGAAGCATGCTCCAAAAATGTCTGTGCTCCACACGACTTGGTCTGCTGCTTTGTTGTTGGGCCGTAACTGGCAATTACTACTAATTATTAAGTCATCAACAGGTTATTTTGAAGGAGGCAAATGCAACTTATTTTCTCTGGTCAGAGTGAGAAAAAGTAGTGGTAAAAATCTACTTCTACAAGGAATGTGCTTACATCACCGGTGGTTTCAGACAAGAATACAGTGTCAGCTGTTGGTAAATGACTAATTGCTGTATATATTAGCTTGCATTTGTCTACAGAAAAACAGACATCAGAAAAAATCTTTCACAACAGGAAGCACTTTTGCACCATATTATCATAACATTTTTTTTTGTTTGGTGTAACTACACAGCCGGCTGTTGATACTGTTACACCTTAAGCTGTTAAGCTAACAGTTGCGTTCTGTTTGAGCTCTGAGGCCTTTTCTACATTCCTGCCACGAACCAAACTAAAACAGCTAACTGACGCCATTCAATCAGCTAACAATCAGCTAACATGAGAGGCGTGGACAGTTTGACAGTTCATTAACAAGGTCACATACCAAGACAAACCACAGCAATGTTAGAGTTAAAGGTCAACTAAATCCAGCATGTCTTTTGGCTGTGTGCGGAAACTAAAGAATCTGTAGTAAACAACGAGCAAGCTTAATTCAATCATGTTGGGCTAGCGTGCTACCCTCTTCTTCAACCACTGCTAATGTCATGGCATTCACTCTCTGCTGTCCAAAAGGCTACTACACAGCTGCACGTCACCATCTACAGTCAATAATACTGTGAAAATGAGGAGCAATCCAAAAAGAAAACTGCTACATGTCTACGACCTTTGATCAAAAAGACAACTGTTTCCTCCTGAAACCCATCAGGAAATGGTTCTACTGTTGTGGTTTTAAACACTGCACTACTACTACCACATCGACACAGCTGTAATAAAGCAAAGTTTCACTTACTCAGGTTGGGCTTCTGCCAGCCAGGCTGTTTGTCCTCAGCTTTGAGTGAAGAGGTGGAAGTAGTGGAGATCAGTGCACCTGAACCCCATCACCACTGATTAGCAGTGGGGCACAGAGAGGTGTAGAGAAGCCTCCTACAGGTGGAAATGAGAAACAAAGTCAAAACGTCAATGTGCATTCTGACTCACTCCAGAACCTACGGTCTTATGTAAGAACAGGAGACAGGCTCACAGTACGACAGGCCTGGGGCGATAACACATTTTGCTGGACGATATACTGTATTTTCACAAAAAGTGTTGCAGATAAATGACAATATTGACAATATTATTTTGAGACATAACCACTAATGGAATCATAATATTGGATATATCATAAGCAATACATTTGATTTCTCATAGTATTTTTTTTGTCATGGAAAATCGGAACAATAAAAAAAAACTAGCTACTTTTTTCAGCCCTCCATTGTTGATTTTGGGTGACTCTATTTGATTTGTTGCTGCACAAATGTGGACTTTTGCATTTCTAAGTACCGTATTTTCCGGACTATAAGTCGCTGTGGAGTATAAGTTGCACCAGTCAAAAAAAAAAAAGCACAATGAAGAAGAAAAAATATATACAAGTCGCTCCCTCTACCAACTCAGGGTGAAAATAAGTATGAAATAACATACATTTTTTAATGGTACAGGAACAGCACAAGCCTAAAGTGCCCTTTATTAATTATATTTTATAAAGATACTGGAAAATACTTCCTGTTCTCTGATTGGCCAATAACTATATTCAGCACAACATCATTATCAGCATTACCTGGAGTGATTGCCATAGCCTTTAAAAAACCTCTAATTTGACATTTAAAAGCCTTTAAAAAACCTCTAATTTGACTTTTTTTTTAAAAAAACTCATATCGGTGGTATTACAGGGAGGAAGGTATATAGAGGAGGTGCTGCATGTGTCCACTTGATTTAAGTGTTGGAAATAAACTAACATAAATCATCATAACTGTCATCCCCCTACGTTTCGATGTCAAAGAAGTGAGTAATTGTTCAGATTTGCTGCAGCTCAGTAGTCATTTAATCCAACTCAGTTCTTTACAGTTGACAGGTTGGGATTGTTCCCTCTCATAGGTGTGGCAGATGAAGGTCTTTATGTCTTTTTTACCTTGATACTTTTTCACCCTGTTGCCCCATATTTCTATTATTTTACACTAATTCAAACTGGCTGCCCCAGGTATCGGTTACACAACAATTTTGTGCGCATATATTTTTTTTTTCCAAAGTTGAGGAGCTAAATTATGGGAACGCTGGGATCAGGTGTCGTCAGAACTGTTGCATCAGCAAGCATCTTTTTAGATGTGTTGTATTAAAACTATCAAAGATGGAGAGAAGACACATTTGCAGTGTAAACATTTACTGCTGCAGGAGTAACGGCGGGTGAGTGCGGTCAAGTGAGGATACACAGTACTGCCATTAGTCTGAATCGATGAGGAGAAAAAACACACTCACTACGTTTCAACTCAGAGGTTTGGAAGAAAACAAAGCAGAACAACACATTTCTTTCACACATTCTTTGTTTTTGTCTGCACATGACATCAGCTGAGTTTCACCATGAAACACACTTTTTTTACAGAAACACAACATGATGTCACTGTCGTCTTTAACCAGTCTACTAAGTGCACATTTATATCGTATGTCGACACTACTTATCAGATATCTCACACATTTTAACAGAGTATTTATTACTAACCCTTCCATAGTGTATATGGGTTCTCAAAGGCAGTTTTCTTTGTTGTACTTTGGGTGTGGTCTGGACAGTTTTGCCTTACGTCAGCTCGTGATGTCATTGGGTCTGGGTATATCCCACTTTGGCCATTTCTGACTGTATCATGTGTAGCTGGCTAAGAACGGCAGCAGGGTGTTTCCTCGCAAACGAATGCAACTTAAGTTGCATATAATTAGAAACCATGTTTACTAATATTTTCAGCGAAATATTGAAATTTGACTCGCTGAGATATTTAAAAAGAAAACCACCTGTTAGAGATTGAATTGGTTGTTTTGTTGTAATTTTTGTGAAATTGAAATAAATATGAAAAATATGACCTTGCGAAAATTGTAATGTCAAATGGCAAGAAAACCTAATATTTATGTAATAGCTTAAAAGGTTGCCAGTTGATGAGTAAATGTTTGGCCTATAAAGGTGTGCAAAGTAAATAATTTATTATGATTATAATAAAATTAAAAAAAGTCGTTGGCCATATAAAACCTATTCAAGTGTCCTGATTTGCCCCAAGGGCAGAGCTAAACGCGGACGTTACCTAAATTGCGTATCAAAAGTCCTCATTGTGTTGGGCCAATGAAAACACTTGTACTGTGTATTATTAGAAGATCTGAATATGTTTTCATGTGATGGTGTTAAGATTACACTGACAGTCTATATATACACTCTACTGTAGGTGGAGAATGAGAAGGGTGTAGGCATGCAGTAGGCAGGGTGTACTATTTTATACTGTAGTAGTGTAGATGAGCTATGATCTCATGCCTGTAGAGCCGGAGTCATGCTGTGAATTACAGCTTGTAGATGAGCTATGATCTCATGCCTGTGGAGCCGGAGTGATGCTGTGAATGTCTCACTAAATGTCAGGTTCAATGGACTCCTGCATCACTGCGGTAAATCAGGGCTGGATTGGATTTCTTTGTGCCATTTTTACATGAGCACATTTTAAGGAGTATATACACACAGGGATGTTTATCAAATGTTTTTGGGGAAATGTGTGCAAAGGCTTGCACCCTCACATTTGTCTTCAGGTCATAGACATTAAGGGATTTTTTTTTACTTGTGTACTGACGCAGCTGTTGTTTCCGAGCGACCTCTGTTAAACGCCGTTTCAACCTCCCGACCCGTGATGTCGGAGCACGTGAATTCCACTGATTTCCTTCAGCTTTTATTGGTTCTGTGTTTTGCCTCCGATGGGAGGATACAGAGCAGGAGGATTCCCAGTGTGTGTGTGTGTGTTTGTGTGTGTAAGACAAATATGAGTGTGTATGTGAGAGAGAGTCTGAGAGGTGCACTGTTGCCCCTGTGCTTCTCTGGCCTGAAGGAAGGAAGCAGTGGAAGTGGGGAGCAGAGAGAAGGAGCAACAAGTGCAGCACAGGACGCTGTATGGGATTTTGGATTAGTTTCCTTTGCCAGAGCTGTCAGTTTTGACATGTAGTACTTAAGTCAATGAGCTTTTTAAAACGACGGTATGTCATGTACCGTCATTATTTATGTACTGTAGACTTTTATTTTTTGTAAGAATAGGCAAATAAACACAATATTTATGTACTGTAGACTTTTATTTTTGTGTAAGAAAAGGCAAAAAAAAAAACACACATTTCCAACATTCGAAAGTAGAAAATATATATTTTTTTCTTTCAAGATTGTTTTGGCCTTTTCACCTCCTTGATTTGTTCACAAACCTCTCACTTCAGTTTGCTTCCACTTTTATCTAACAATGGGTCACTGGAATGCCTCTAATTGACCAATGAGAGTTCACAGCTGTTTGCTTCACACAAAAAAGACATTTTGGGGAATTTAAAGGTGGGTAGAAAGTTCATCAGCTGCCTTAGAATATATAAATACAGTTTAACAAGAAACTTTCCTCTCATGAATTTACTGTTTATTCCTGCCGTGACTTGACTTGTTCAATTCTTAGTTACTCTCCGTCCAACCTTCGAAAGAGTCCTTTTCACTGGTTCACTGATTTCTTTGGTCACAGATATAAAAGTTGTCTGCAGAGCTGCTTTTCTTGTTTGTTTTTATAATTCAACAACAAAAACACTGATTTCTTCAAACCTTGGAAAGAAGTTCCACATCTGAGTCGGGCTCCGAGCCAACAGAATTCAACCTTTAACAAACAGTCAGCACTGTTTTGTACATTCGGCTGTGCTGTACACATTAAGGTTAATCACTTTTAGGTCGTTTCAGTGCAGATAGAGATCCTGTGTAAAAGTGACGGCTGGTGCCAGAGGACCAGGAAGACAATGCTATTAAAAGAGGAAGCTAGTGCACTATTGCAGGCTGTTAATGTGTTCCTGGAAAGGCTACAGAGAGCAGTGCACTCAGCAGGCAGTCGGAGCTGGTCATTAGTCAATTTCCTTCAATGGGTCTGTTCTGTACCTGATTCTACAGGATGTTAAACAAATACCATTTAAAATCTGTCTAAATACTTCATCATGCTGTCACCATCAGAGTGACTGATTATGTCCGGGCATCATATTTATCCGTCTCTGTTTGACTCCGTGTGTGAGCCACTATCTGCCGCTCTGGATTCCATCCATTCTGGGATCATAAATGTAATTACATCATAATTAAAAATGCAGCAGCGGTGTCGTCTTTGCGTCTCCTTTGGTCTCTCCCCATGTGTCTGTGATTTATCAGAGTCAGCAGAACATGGGACTAAAGCTGAGGCCACAACTTTTACAGTCTTTTTCAGGTCGTAAAAGGACTTGAAGTTTGAGGTGGGACTAGATAAGAGTTCTAGCTGTTCTAGTTGACAATGTAGAACCAGGTTTCTTCAGGAAACACCGTTCCTTTGACTAACAACAATCCATTTCTCACAGCTGAAGTAATTGACATTAATAGAATAACATGCAGTTTGTTCCATCCTTCCGTCTTCACCCTCAGTCAGCTGTGGGTAAGCCCTGCTCCCCTCCCCGGCCCCTCCCTGCTCATGCTAATGGTGACCTTTGCCAGGTCAGAATGGTCAGTCATTTAATAACAACAGAGCTTCCAGGACCTGATGAAGTGATCCAGATGATCTCCATGCTGCAGACTAAACTACAAATGTGTTTCCTCTACTGTGACCTCAGGGCTGGGTTGGACCGAGGACTGGGACATCAGGTCTGGAAACAGTTTTTAACAAGATTAGATTAGACTAGATTCTTTTTAAGTTAGTAACTTGTTCATTTCTAGATTAGACTAGATTCTTTTTAAGTTAATATTTTTTGACCAATATTTGGCCAAATCTTAGTTATTTGGGATATTTTTTAAACCTTTTTGGCTAACATGTTGCTATTTCCAAACTATTACTTAGGTAATGCTTAGCCTTTTGCTACCTACCTAGAATGGTAAAAAGGTAAATTCATGGGCCTTAGTGTAATCTCTGTGAAAAATAATAGACCTGTAAGCAACTGCCTTTCTTGTTTACATTTTTGCATGAAAAAATGACTCAAATAAAAGCCAAAACAAACATGTTTATAGTCTGTAAACAGTCTTCAATTAAAATCTCTGTAGCCATAAAACCACAGTCGTTGAACCACAATTGTTGAAATGTGATTGTTTTGCGCAACTTCTATATTTTCTTACACCTGGAGATGTTATTCTGTTCTCAGTCTGGGAGCTGACTCAGTGAGAATGCGGCAAAGAATGTGCCTTATTTTACATAATGTCTGTTTCCCTTAGCTCTTGGTGGGATGATCAGATGATTGTGGTTTCACTTTCCTCCAAAGGGGCTCCATGTGATGCTGATGTGAGATCTGGGCGTATGTGTGTGTGTGTGTGTGTGTGTGTGTACGTGCAGTACAGCACTGAAAGCCCAAAAGCAGCACATGAATCCTGGCATGTTACAGCTGCTCTAACGTAACGCACCCCTGAGGTTTTACAGCTGGAGAGATTGGACAGTGGACTTTAAAGCAAACATATGTCTCTTTGTATTTGGTCAGCACTTTTTTTGCTGCATGAGGCCAGAAAAGAAAGTCTACTACAAGGAACACACGCCATATTTATAACAACAAAGTATTAAATATCAGCATTAATGATGAAGAAATAGCTACAAGTTAGCTACAGGATAATAGCAGAAACATAACATAAAGCTTGAAGGTAAACTAGATTTCTAGCTGACATAATAGCAGAAACATAACATAAAGCTTAAAGGTAGTTAGAGATGAGGGCTAAAACAATCACAGAAATGTTAGCCGAACTGCAGCAACAACACGATATTTATGCCGTAGAAATGAAGAAAGCTCAGGGGGGAGACAGAATCACGATGACGAAATCTTGCTGTGTCAATATTTCTGTCCGACGCCTCAACAATTAAACCACAGTTATTACAGAAAGAATCTTTTTGTTTTGGGTCAGCTGACGCATCTCATGTTTTAACATGGACGGCCACATACAGAACTGCGGTATTATACAGTGGCTGCATACAATTAAAAGCATGTGGTACTTTTGAAAGGGTCTGTGTTGACCGTGAGATAAATGCGTGTAGTGTACGATACATATTCAGTGACATTCCTCTTTGTTGCGAACCTCGGCCTCTGTTATGAATACGTCTTCAGTTTTCGATGGACCTCATGGGTCAAAACGAAATGTTGTGAAACTTTTGTTCCGTGTCAGATGGGTTTAAGCCCCAGTTTTTACCCCTCCAGCCTCAGCCCCTTCTTTCGTCCATCCTTCATCCTTCCTGGAGCCGTGGTCTGGAACTGATTAGGGCAGGAATCTCCAGCAGTGCCCTGCTGCTGTATTAGCATGTCTTCAGTGACGGGACGGACACAGTGATTTGGTGCCAACAGGCAGATCTTTAACCTCAGTCACTAGGAAGTTGTTGAAGGGTAAATGTCTTTCTGAATAAATGAGTGATCTGGTCAGGGAGAAAACGCTGTCTGTCTGTGTGCGACGTAAGGCGTTTGTGGTCACATAAAATATTCTCTCTGTGTCTTTTTCTCCATCAGGATGGCTGACGTATCGCAAGAGGAGAGACTCCAGGTCATCGCAGTAAGTTCTCTCAACACACACTGTTTTGTCTCTAACGTTTTACACACACAGACCAGAGTTTGTGTTTAACTGCACTAGTGTGCCATGGAAAATCATCCAATTTCACTTAATAATTTGTCCTTGTTCGTCAATGCGACCAGGACAGACAGAACAATTAAATAGGCAACGTATGGCTATAAAAACTAAACAAAAGAGAGCAACTGTGCCGTTCAATTCCTGTGATTATATCAGGGTTATGTTCAACTAAACAGGCCAAGGTCTAACGCTGAGTCAGTAAATTGTTCATTATATTTCATCACATATTTTTGGGACATTTATGTTTGGTGGTGGGTTGTGGGATTTTTCGAATGTGAAGAATGTGCCGCGGTTCAGAAATGTTGGGAAGGATGGCTTCAGAGATAATGTACTCTCTAGGATCTTATCCAAACATTAACAGTTACAAATAAAAGCCTAATCTAAATCCATCAATGTTGTTCAAAATTATGAAAAATTGTTTACATTTCCTAAACAGATATTGCTACAAAATCAACTTATCATTAGCTAAAAGCCAGCATTGACAATCTTAGGCAAAATGGAAATATAATAGACCAAAATGAGGGGATAATTAAATAGTGGTTTGAAAGATTGAATTAAAAAAAAACATTAGCAGAAAAACTGAGTTCTATATGAATGGAGATCCAAAGAACTCCTAATGAGTAACCAGTGAAACCTCATCCTGGAATAATTTAATGTGTTTTTTTATATTGTAAAGACTTGCTGAATAAAACATATGTTTGAATTAGAACTATGATGACTTATGTATTTAGATGAACTGTGTCGGCCATTGCTTCACATGTCTGATAGAACAAATAGAAAAAGCTGGACCTTGCTAGTAGGCTTTCTAAGGTTACCTTGAAAGTCTCCTTGCTGTACTAAGGAGAAACCATTGTTGCTGCTGAAGGTCTGACTGAGAGTCTTAATGACTCAGCCTCTTACCATAGATCCCATCTCCTTCCACCATTAGTGCATGTCGAAGCCTAATGCAGTAGATTTAGCTCGGTACCATTTTCTGCCTTTCTTGATTTTATACCATGCCTCTGTTTAATCTTTGTCTTTTTTAACAAAACGTCTACATTCTACATGGTTTATCTACAAATCTGTAGACACTGCAGATTAAAGTTTATGGTGAACACATTAGCACAGTTTTTTTTCTCTCTTTCAAATATAAGCTGTGTTTCTGCAGAGTCATCATTCAGTTTAATGTGTCTGTTTGCTGTAATAGGAGAAAAGGAAGAAGCAGACAGAGATTGAAAACAAGAGGAGGCAGCTGGACGACGACCGAAGGCAACTGCAGCATCTCAAGGTACACAATCCACGTATTCACGAAGGTTTTAGATCAAGATTGTACATTAGCATGTTTATGACTTCAGACCCAGCCTCTAAGTCTAGTTTCTGATTGAAACCCAACAAAATTCAATGCAATGTAACAAAGCTAAACGAAATGTCTAGATACAGCAAGATGAGAAGATTCTAAAGGTCATCAAAAGTCAGCCCTTAATCATCGCCACATAAAATGGTAAAAAAATAAATAAATAAAATAAAAATAATAATAAATAAAGGAGTCTTGAGACACTTCATATCCATATCTTCTATAAAGTATTTATCACAGAAACACATCTGGGGGAGTCATAACAGTTCTACCACAGAGATCAATGCAAACGCCACACAGGATTACCATCAGTTACCCCTGGGGATCAAACCTGTGATCCTCTTGCTGTAAGGCAACAGCATTAACCACTAGTATTTGTGTTAAATGTTTGTTAAGATCACTACACAAATGAACACATGTTTTAGTTTGGGCTGTCAATCAATTTGCAGTCAGTTTAATACCAGGATAGCTGTGGATTCATCATAATTAGTCTAATTAAATACACTGTGTCTGTGTTTTTAAACAAGTTCAAATCCAAACAGATTATTCTTCACAAATTCATGAATCTATTTGAGAACTTTCTGACATGGCTCTCAATAGTGTCTCTAGGTCACAGCTAGCCGCAGGAACTTTTGCTACATGCGCCTCAGCTAACATTAATTCTATAACATGAGTTTTTACTTTAGCTCTGTGCACCTTTGTATTCAGTAAAAGCATATTGTTCAGATTTTGGCCAAAACTTGACACCAGAGTATCAGGCTACTTCAGCTGCCAACGGAAACCAGTTGCACTTCCTGATGACAAAAGAACAGACAACTTTTTCAAACAATATTATGATCAATAATGTAACTTTGGAACACACACATTGGTGGATATTTACAGATCCGCTCTGGCCAATAATAGGTGCCGTGTTCTCAGTGGTCAGACAAACAAAAAATTGCCCTGTCTTGAGCTGTAATTGACACCGAGCAAACCGGAGTTTTTACTTTCCAAAAATGAAATGAACTGCTCTAGAAGCTTCCATAGCTTAATGTTTTTTATCTGCATAATTAAGGGCCGTGAACACATGTTAGCTGTTATTTCCACCATAGATAGGTAAAAGCTGACATCACTCCGAATTACTTCCAGGAAAGGAATTTATTCCTATTTTCCAGATTTCTTGATTTATTTCACATAAAACTTCCACAAGAATAAACCTAATAGCTGTGCACACAGAATCAGTATGGAACAATAACAACAGCTGGAATGTCGATCAGATCGACATCAAATGGAGAAGGAAGGATATACGTTTTGTTTTGACTGGATTCCTTATGGCAGCGTTTGTTTACGCTCTCAGTTCAAAGGAAATCTAATCACGATGTTAATTTAACCTAAAGCAGACTCGTACGACACATGCAGACACGAAGACCCGCTTGACTGAAATACGACTACGTACGTTAAAATGTTACAGACAGATTAGTACAAACAGTCAATACCTCACTTGACTCAGTGACTCCGTATGTAGCCTACTGCATAACGGCTTCTAGGCACTCTGATCAAGAAATATTGTAGAAAAAGCTTAGCCAAATGTGCTAACGTTTTTGCACAAATGAGCGCAAAAAAACCCTGAATGATTTCAGCATTTTCTCTGCAACACGGCCAAACCAACCACAGGTTGTAAGATGTTAATTGGCTACGAAGTCTTAAGTTTAGAATGCTGTTAGAATCTAGATGCAGACGTCAAGAAAATAATGGACTCGTCAAAAATAACAGTTTTGCCTGTGAATCGAATTGGTGAGGGAATTAAATGCACAGCAACAAAAATAAAAGTGATAAAAACATTAGCATTGATGCTTAGTGACAAATGTTACAGTTAGAAGGTAGAAGAAGCTACAGCAGCTTAGGATATAAGACAGGCACACCAAAATGTAAGTACTGTCAAAACAGTAAATTTCATAATGTAATCATTTCTCATGTTTACGTTACCACCTCCATAGTGCTTATCCACTGCCTAAAAAATGCATCGAGAGAGGAGTGGGTTCTGACTGCTTCTTTTCTGTCCTGTTCCTAGACAAGAAGCAGCAGCGGGGTCTGTTCACTTTATCTTCAGATGTAATTTCACTACCAAAGCAGCTTGTGTTTTGTTTGTTTTATATCTTTTTTTTTCATCATCACTGCCCTCACCGTCTGTCAGCTGACAGTCTCTCTGCCAAAATAAACTCTGTTTTGAATTTAACTGGAAGCAAAAATTATCACTGATAAGATTGAATTCCTGCGCAGCGTGAAGCACAAGGAAACTCACCTCGTGACCTTCAGCTGAACTTCAACCAGGGTCACGGTCAGTTTTCGGGAACCGTGCCCTGCTCTGGCACAACAACATTTGAAGTCGTTCTCACAACTATCAGACCTAGAGAGCGAGACACTCCCTAACTACCGCTGCTGTGAAGGAATGATCAGAATGGACAGCAGATTACAGCGGCAGCCCCTCCACATGTTTTTATCCACGCACAACACACTCCCTACAACGCACACACGCATTGACATCCGCATGCATACACTCAAACACACACACACACACACTATATCAGGGCCAAGGCATGTCAGCACTGTCAAAGCTATTTCAGACCCGGACAATTGAGCAGGTCACAGATAAGAGCAAAGGTTGTGATGTGTGTGCACATTGTGTGTTGACACATTTGTGTTTGTGGTTAAAGTTGCTGGTGTCACCGGTGTGACTGGCCTTGCCTGCTATCACATTTGTTTCTATTTTCAAAACAAGACAGAACAGAGTAAATGTGCGTCCACACGTGTGTGTGTGTGTGTGTGTGTGATCATTTTGTGTGTCGCTTCGTGGGGAACACAAAAGCCTCAGACAATGAGGTGGGCTTTAGAAGAGGAAACAGATTTCTGTCCCACTCCCACCAACAGGAAGCAGCCCTAACACCCTCCACACCCCGCTATCGTCTCGCACGCACACACTGACTCTCTCTCTCTCTCACACACACACACACACAAACACACAGAGGAAGTGTAATCACAATGTATGGGACGACCATTAGAAGGCCTTTTGTGCAACCTATGGCAAATATTCTTTCTTCCAGAGACAGCATTCATGTGGGAAAACCAATAAATGTCTCCTTTCATTTACCGCACTTCTGAACCTGCCCCACAGGTACAACAGTTACAGAGCCGTGTTGAATTACTCTATAGCAGCATATATACTGTACACGTGGAGTCAGGCTGCCCCACATCGCAGACCGAACGGCAGAATGAGGAAATCATGTAATGCTGTTAACACATAAGGAGGTCTGTTTTTCATTAGAGAGCCAGGGCAAATATGATTACACAGGCAGGTCCTTTAATTAAAACCTCAGCGAGGCATCAAGTTATCTACATAAGGGGAACACGCCGCTTGCAACCGAAGAAGATTAAAGCTGTAAATTTTCAACAGGACACTTGTGATTTACATTCTAGAAGTTGTGAAAGAATTAGTCAGACATTTGTTTACACATTTCTATTTTTCTATGTTTGTCTTTTTTTCCTGTATCCGCAGCACGTCATCTTAAGAGACTGCAATTTAGATTGTTGATTAGACAGCGGTACACAAATTAGAAGCCTGGAGTTAAGGGTCTATGGAACCCCCAAACTGACGCAGAGACGGAACAACAACCGGCGACTATATCCATCCATCCATTATCTACCATTTATATCTTTGCAGGTTTAGGGGCGGAGTACTCCCTGGACAGTTTGCAGGTTCACCACAGTAGCACATATAGAGACAACAACCAGTCACATTCACACCTACGGTCAACTCAGTGTGTCCGATCAACATAATCCCCTAATGAGAGTGTCTTTCAAACTCCGTACAGACAAACCTACCTACAGTTTGGTAGGTGGTCAGTTTCCACTTCCTGTATATGTAGTAAAAACATTCATCGATGTTTAACTGATTGGACTAAAGTCCGGTCAGGTCTGTTTCCATCAAACACTTTTAGATTCACGACTCCACACACTCTAACACAGTTGTGTGGCTGCTCGCCATGTTGACAGTCAACAGCTAGTGCATACTGGTGCAAACCTTGTCCAACTGGGGAAAGAATCCTTGTAGTGTAGTGTATCCATAACAAGCTCTTTCTGACAGGATTCTCTTTAAAGCTGAGCACTTGTTTACACGTGTGTAAATTGAGGCAAATCTGGTCAAAACAAAAGAACAATACAGAAATGTCAGTTGACAAAACAGAAAGAACTAAAATGTTAATCTTCCAATTTTACTTCTAAATCTAATTTCCTCAGGGTCAAAAACAGAACCAAATAATTCAAATATTTTATCTTGAAAAATGTTCTTAGATTTCATCCGCCGACCTTTGTTTTTAAGGAACTGAATTTTAAAATGTGACTTCAGTACAAGTTCAAGATCTGGTCCAAAGATGAAATTTGACTTGGAGGACTCTTGTCCTTCCAGCTGTTCAGAATGTGTCGGTGTTCCGACGTGTGTGTGGTTTCGTCAGCGTGTGGCCGTGTGTGTGTGACACTTCCGCCCTTTGTCTGCTACGTTAGCAGCTTTTACTCCACAGAACAATAGAGCGAGACAGAGCTCGAGCATGCTAACTTTACGACCGTCTGAGCTGACCTGTGCGTCTACAACACTGATGCTGCGAATCAGGACAGTAAGGTGTGGTGGTAGGGTGAGCAAAGAGAGAGAGAAGGAGGGAGAGAGAGAGAGAAGGCAGAAGAGGGGGGATATAGGGTTAGAGTGAGTGCCTAGGAGACCATACTGGGCTGGGGTATGGAGAGTGTTGAATTACACGGTGTGAGTATGTGCTGTAAAGCTGTGTGTGACCAGAGCTGAATTTCTCAGCGCTAAAAGTAAAAGCCAAAATCCAACAGGGCGATCAGGCGATTTATTTTTCATGGTTCAAACCAGATAAACACACAAACTGAGGAGTGACATTCATAAGCTCGCCACAGTTCGTGAACTTCTGGGTGGATAGAGATGTATGCAACGGGATAGGAAGGGGTGGGGGTCGAGTCAGAGTTAGGAGGGGAAAAAGAAATGAGGGGAGTTTTGTTTTTTTTTTCTGTAGAAATTCTTGTTGCATCACTGGAGAGGAATTCACATCCAGCGCAGGTCCAGATTTTTAGAGGAACTGCTGAAAACAAGAATGTTTTCTGGTCCTGTGTCACACGCAGCCATTTCTGTTACTGTACGGTCAAACAGCTGCACTGTTATATTTACCTCCCAGCATACCAACCATTCACTTTGATATTAGCTTATCTACTGAAGGGAATGTGAATGGGGAGTCATGACACAGATAGTCCGCTGTTAACAAACGAATGATTGATCCAAAAAATGGGGGTTGAGGGAGAGATGGTAATGAAGCTTTTAGTGTCATTTCATCTCTTGGTTTTTCTTATGAAATGCAGGATTAGACTAGTGAAATAATCTGCAAATATTTGTAACTGCTCATGAAATTCACACGACCACATCCTTTTAGAGCTCAAGTCAATAAATCAGGAACTTTTGCTAAACATAAGTGAAAAAAAATCAAGCTTTGCTAAATTAAAATCAGGGGTGCTGTCTGATTACAGATGAGAGTGGCTAGCATGTAAAATATGTAAGGAAGTTGTAAGGAAGTTAGTCTAAATTATATTAATAGCTCAAAGTAAGAAATAGATATTAGCCAAATTTAATAGGCAGAAAAAAGACTACTGGTAAATTTCAAATGTTGTCGTGTTCACTTTCAGTCTAAGGCGCTGAGGGAGCGCTGGTTGTTAGATGGAGCTCCAGCTGAAGAGGAGACTCTCTTGCGTCTGCAGGAAGACGAGGTGAAAACCAAACTTCTGGAGCAGGTCATCTTCAGGTCAGCGTTTTATAAAATCATCAGTCCATGTGTCAGTGTCAATTTATAAAGTTATGAAAATGTTAATTGAATAAAACAAGAGTTGAGAACTATGATGAAGATTTCAAAATCTCAAGAATCAAAACTAACAAGTCTATGTCTGAACTCAATCTGGGATTATAATCTGAATTAAAAACTGATTAATCTGGACGTCTTCTAGATTTGTTTGCAAAACTGTGTCATTTCTCTAAATGAACCTGTGTGTGTGTGTGTGTGTGTGTGTGTTTTTCTGAGCCAGGCTGGAGCAGGAGATTGAGGAACTGGAGACAGGCGTTCCAGCAAATAAGGGCGTGGCCAAAGAAAACGGAGGTAAGTTTTCATTCACTGCCCACGGCAACGTATAACCACATTGGAAACCATGGTAACATGAGTGTCCAGAAAGAAAAAGTGAGCTAATAATGACCACTTCTCATGCTCTATTACATTGCCCTTTAACGACAATATTTCATGTCTTTTTCCCTTCTCCCTGGACTCGTACTGCGCACTGAATGGTTCTCTAATGCCCTCTGCAGGTGAAAACGGAGTAGTGCAGACCGCTGCTCAGACCCCCAAGAGAGAGGTGACAGGGATTGAGGCCAAGCTGCTGGGTCCCAGTCCGGACCAGGCGAGTGCAGACAATCCTGTCACCCTGGTTTTTATGGGCTACAAGACCGTGGAGGAGGAGCAGGAGAGCTGCAAGGCCCTCGGCATGGAAGGGGTGGATGGTAACGTAAAGGCCGAGTTTGTGGTCATTGAGGACGGCGAGGGAAAAGGGGGCGCGGATGCCGTTACGGAGGAGCAGCCGCCGCCCAATGGGAGCATGGCTGAGAAGGAAACGGCCAATGGAGGCGGAGAGGAAGTGGAAAAGGAGAAGGAGAAGAAACAGACCTGCAAATGCTGCACGGTCATGTGAGCTGTGTGTGTGTAGGTCTAAGTGCGTGTGTGTGTGTGTGTGCGTGTGTGTGTTAGAATTGGAAAAAAAACAACAACATCAGAAATACACAGTCAATTTACCAACAATGAGAGCCAATACACCCTCCAGCTACAACAAGAAACACAAAGACTCATGCGTACTCTTTGCTCTGTATAATGTCTCTGATATGTATTGACTTTTTAATTTCTATTGATATTTTTCTATTTTTCTGTCTTGACATTTATATTATCGTCACTTATTCAGTATGTATATCTTTATTATAAGACTGTGTACTGTAAGTTCATTGTTATTGTTGGGAAAAAAAAAGATACTGTATTAGCTCTCTGGATTGTGCTACTACCCACTCTGTTTAAAATGAATCTGGAAACGTTAAAACATTTACATGGAAAACATCAAACTATGAAGGACACAGATAAGTTAAAAAAAAAAACAAAGGCAAATATATATATCTATATATTTCTCTGTGTAGGCCTACCAACTATTTATTGGTCAATTTCATATTACAATATTGTCTAAGATATTATTTTAAATAGTATTTTAATATATTGATATGAAATTATGTTTTATACAATGTATTTATTGTTGGGTTTTTTTGGTTCTCTATTTCATCTCGGTCGTCCATTAACTGCATGTACGTATCGCTTGTACCAGATTGGCATAACACTCATTACGACTGTCTGTGCTTTAGTCATTCGAGTCTGTTTTGATCAGTAACAGTTCCTGTAACTGGCAGTGATAGACATGTGCATTTATTCTTTTCCAAAAATCAAAAAAAAAAAAAAAAAGAGGTGTATTTAACACACACAACATTGTCAACTGACTCCAAAAAGCCCTGGAACTGACCCTCCAAAATCACTACCCTAGTACTCACCTAAGGAATGTTGTTTTTCACATTGATTTTACATCTTCAAAACAACATAGTGACACACACACACACACCAGTCAAACTGGAGCACTGAGCTGCCTGGTGCTAGGGAGTTTTGATAGTTACTTAATAAGGTGTTTGCCAATGCCAGGGATTCAAACCAGCAACCCCCCGGATTTCAACCTTAAACCCTTTAACCACGAGGCCACAGGCTACCCACACAGGACAGACAGTGATACAGTATTCTGTCTAGGCTGGACTCATATGTGCGCACGGTCATCCAGCTCATAACTGAGTTAGACTCCTGTTTTATCCAGCACAGAACTGCCTAACAACTCACCACACAGACGATCAGCTATGGCTCCGAAAAGTGATTGTTGTTGATTTTATCTTTTTTAAAGAGCCATGATCTGACTTTGATGTGTGCTTGGAACAGCCTCTGTTCGGGGGCCTGTAGCCTTAAATACTGTACTAAAAGAAACTACATTTTACCATGCTACCACCAAATGGTTCTACCACAAGAAAACACAAAATATACATTTCTACATACAGTTCAGGCAATGTTCAATTCCATCAAAGTAGCATTAGATATTTTGGTTTGCCACACCTACCGTTGTCAGAGACAGTGATCTGATGTCAAAATTGCACACGTTTATGAGTTAAAGAAGACAGTGACATTACGTTGTTTTGCAATGCAATGTTTGGGCCTTTTTTGAAGCTCATCTGGCCCAGTTCTGATTTAATCATTTTCTGAACAGGGATTTTAAACAAAACCTATCAACATCTCAGGTTGCCAAAAGTTGTAATGAGGAGCCACTGAATTAGCCGGAATGTGACCACTTTAGCAGTTAAGCTCTGTTTGGTTGGTAGGTTGGTTGGCAGTAATGCTTTATGGCAGTTGGCATCCATAAAGTCATTACTCATTACTGCCTCCTATTGGAGCTTCATAAAATCAAAATCACAATTGGACCTGTTGCAGTATGAAAAAGTCAGAATCTCAGTGTTATGCAGTAGATAGGGTCTTGGCTCGATTCTGAACCCCTCTGGACCTAGTCCACTGTAAATGTGGACTTCTACAAGACCAGGTCTGCAGGTCTTTTCCTTGGCTTTATGGTGTCAGTTTACTGTTTGTGGTTTTGTGGTTTGAACATGGAATTAATGCTCATACTTTTAAATCATAGCCGATTCACTGCACAATAACTAGTACTGCTTTAGGACTGCTTTTTGAGAACCAATGTAAATCTTCTAACGTAGCACTGCATGAAGCCCTGCAACATCGTTGACTGTCTTGTCAATTGTTAGGTATTTATTCTAAATCACATGAATGTAAAACCGGGGGTTAAATTGGGAAGTGTTTTGAGTATCACAACACTTATTGAGCTCAATATACACAAATGTCTTGACAAACCAAATAAAAACCCTTAAGATTCTGTTATTTCACTGTGTCGATCAGATACTGGTTTCTGTCCTGGCTCCCAGTTTAACCCCTGTTGTTAACTCTTTATACCAGGCCCCTTTAAGTACTTGAATAGATTTTCAGATAGGATTTTTAGACTTTTGTCGCAAAGAAAATACCCCTGTAGGACCAAGCGTTCCTCGAAGCTTTAGATCTCGAGACATTATAAATAAGGAAATAAATAGTCTGAACTTGCAAAAACATACAAAGTACAGTACAGATAATTTTGTCACTTTAATGCAAGTAACTTCATTAATTTCTCCCTTTTGACTTTTTCCCATCTCTGACTGACCCACACACCTTCATCCCTGTCTTGTCCTCATCCTCTGTGCTCGGAGACACTTAAAAAACTGAAGTTGGTGCTAATTTTTGAGGCTCGTCTGATCCGCTCCATCTCCCAAGCCCAGTCCTGTTCCCTTGTGTCCCACACTCATACACGTGCTTAACATGAGTTCCCCACAAATCTCTCAGATGCATATTTCTCATGTCCTGCCTTCATTTGCCATCAGACAAATGATCCCTTCTAACATTCCAGAAAGGAGGTCAACAGGCGAGGGCAGACAGAATTTACAGTCTATTCTTTCCATGTGTAGTGTTCCACAGTAATTGTACAACTTGCAGCTTTTTTCCTGATATAGTTTGGTGTTATTTCTTTTCCTTTCTATGCCTTTGTCTTTATCAGGCATTTTATTGTATTTGACGTGTGTATTTTTTTTTAAAAAAAAAGCAAGTGTGTTGTTGTGCCTTTCGTCAGGTTCAGTTGGTTGGACTTTTGTCTGTCTGCTGCCACTTTTCGACCAGGATTTTTTATTTTTCTTGCTCTGCTGCTGGTCATGATGACCGGCAGGAAACACTGCCTTCTACCCTGAAATGTCTCCAGACAATGGACAATAGAATATCACACTTGCTTGATATCTGTAAGTGCAGCTCTGATTGTAGGTCACATGCAGCGGACTGTTGATGTCTTGACAAAAATTTGTATCCTGTGCCTGATTTTCTAATTTTTAAAGACTTGTTTGATTTTGATTTTGTTGTACCTCTATTTCTGATGTTCTTCTCATTTCAGTGGATACAAAATTTATGCAGGAGATTAACTGTCAGTCAGTATATGCACATGTGTATCTGAGTGTATTCCTACCGGAGGAAAAAAGTAAATTTGTTACGCTAAAGCTTTGCTTAGTAGTGGATATCTGGGACAGCAGAAGCAGGAAAAGCAAAAGTTGTTTTTAGAGCAATGCCTGTTCATCTCTGTGGTCGTCTAAATGTTTGAATAAAGATAACTGTTTGTTTACTGCAACTCAGAGTAAAGTGTGTGTGTGTGTGTATGTGTGTGTGTGTGTGTGTGTAATTCAGGATGTGGTGCTAGAACATCCATTCTGGTGTTGTGTTGGGTTTCGGTGTCTTACCTGAGGAGGTCACAAATGGATGGGGGACGTCCTCCAGGGTCATTTAGATCTGAGGATGAATGAGTGAACAGTTAATGTCAAAGCACTGAAATGATGATGACATATAATTATTTTGGTTACAAATTTGGTCACGTGATGAAAAACATGTTTGTCTAAACTACTAAAATGTAATTCGTGTTTAGATGACTCTCGTTCAAAAGAGGAAACACTGACTGAAGAAGGAAAAGACAGAGAAGTATAAGAGAATACGTGAGAAGCAACAAAAAAGAATATGAGCATGGCCTGTTTTAACGAAGTTCCCATAATAGGCCACTAGAGAGCGTGCGTCTACTGTTTTCATAATTCATCTAATTCTAATAAAAGCTGCCACACAATCTGTGTGAGACCAAGGAGAGGAGGAAGGACGGGGGGGGGGGTAGTTCGCTAAACTTAATCTGATAAAGGACGATTTGTAAATTGTCTGGGACTCATTATACATGATACAAATTCCGCATACAGCTCTGTCTCTGGGATGCGGACAGGGACTCATTATACATGATACAAATTCCACATACAGCTCTGTCTCTGGGCAGCAGTTCCCCATCAAAACACAAACACAATACTGTGAACTCTGGCCTGTATTTCCATACTAACATAAACAGGAATGTAAAAAACAAATCACAACTCTACTCATTTGGACCATTGGCAGAATATAAATAGTTCTACAATAGAAATGAGCAAAGTTAGGGGAGTATTGTGAGGTGAAACAGTAAAAAAGCAAATTCAATTTCTAGATTAACAAGACTCAAGTCCAAGTTTGCTGAAGGATCGCTGCACAGATGGCCACAGTCAGCCCAGTGAGGTCAAAGCAAAATTGAATTGCTGCTATGGAAACAAGTAGCAGTAATTACCTCCCCTTTGTGATTACTGTGTTAAAAATAAACCTGGGCTCAAGACAATTTAAAATGGACGACACCTAATATGATCATAAAATCATCTGCAAAAAAATGAACTTTACCAAAATAAAAGCTAATAAAATCTAGATGTTGCTCTTGGTGGTGCAACGGCTTTTCATCACCAGATGACATCATCCTGTGCTCACTTCCTTCCCATAATGAAGCCATTAAACACATCTTGTTCACATATGAAACATCACCTGCTGTGAGTGCTGTATTTAAGTCCTTAATTAAATTCTCCTTATTTTCTCAATAATGCTGGGATTGTATTTGACTTTTTAGGTTTTCGCCACCATTACCAAAGATGCCACATGGAAAGGTTATATTTGGACCACAAGCTCCACAAGTACAAAATCTGGCCCCTGCCCTACACCATAACTCCCCCATGAATTCCACTCAATACCAGTAATTCTTGCTGTTTTGCAATATATTTAGAATTATTTTCCACAAGAGCAAACATTTTTCATCTCACATGTAATGTTTTCCCTTCATGTGTCTTATATAACTACGATACAGAGCTACTTGATTTAAATGCATCAATTTTCTAAATCCCAATCCATCAATTTGCCAATATGGTACATACACACACACACACACACACACACACACATATATATATATATATGTATGCCTCATGACTTCTTCTGTGAGGCGTTCATGTTCCTATTTTTGAAAAAAAAAAAGGTATCAGTGACTAGTTGACTTTAGAGAATAAAAATCATTGTGGAGGAGTAAAGACGTCTAGTTGCTCAGTCTGATCAACCCCTACTGTGGTGTCATTAGTGAAAGCACTGAAGTAAGTCATTGTCTTCTCTCTGTCTTATAATTTCTTCACACATATCTAAAAGGACCCACATCATTAACTCAGGTAGAGCCGAGGAGTTTGCCAGTGATGCATGAGTCAAAGGACCCACATCATTAACTCAGGTAGGGCCGAGGAGTTTGCCAGTGATGCGTGAGTCTGTTTTTTGTTTTTTTTTCCCCAATTGGAAGTGTGTCTGTGCTGTGTATGTCGCCATGGCAATCAATCTATTATTCAAGAAGAACTAGGGCCTTCTGTTTTCCATCCTGATTGTATCTGCTTCTGTTTTGCCCCCAGCCAGTGGCAACAACAGCCGACCAAATTCACCATCACGTGTGGTCCTCATTAGCAGTCGTCCAAATGAGAGTGATAACACTGTTGTTAGTTGCCTGTTATTGCCCATTGGAGTGGTTACAGATCTGCTTGTCCTGAGAGAGAAAAATCAGGTAAGATGACCAATAAACTATATGAGTGAGCCTATTTTCTTTTGTTTTACTGACCCTTTTCTCCTTCGTTCTTCATTGCTGCTTGCTTTAAGTGCTCACCAATTAATATGTTTTGTAACGCAAAAACGCACATTTAAAGACATCATAGCAGATTGTGAAGTTACAGTATGTGTTTAAGCAGTGAGTGATTGGGTCTTTTCCTTCAGGCATTTTTGGAACTGGGCAGCGAGGAGTCTGCAAGGACAATGTTCAACTACCACACATGTCACTGCAGTGATCAGAAATCAACCCATTAACCTGCAATACTCAAACCAAAAGGATTGCAAGACGGACAACTGACCCAAACACTCTCCCAGTATAGGTCTTTCAGACAATGGCATAGGGTCTATGTTGAGACTCCTCAGAAAACAAAACAAACAAACAAAAAAACAAAAAAACAAGAACAAATGGGTGGAAAAAAGGGGCCCATAAACCATCATGTCATCTAGGCTAAGAAATTTTATTTTCAGTTTTATTACTGACAGAATTTTTCTTTACATGTGTATTTTGTTATTTTGAATTTTTCTTTACATGTGTATTTTGTTTAGCTATGCTGAATTGCAAAAATGTTGGTGCAATAGCTTCTTAGCTTTTTTTGTATAATAAATCATTCTAAACTCCTCCATTTTTTTCAAAAGTATAATTTATCATATTGGTTTACCTAAATGTATATTTTTTTTTCAAAAGTATCATTTATCATATTGGTTTGCCTAAATGTAATGAGAATTATATATAAAAAACATTCTTGATAAATAAAATAATAATTTGTGAAGGGATATAGTTCTGGAAGAAGGTAAAAACAAAGCTCCACATTTGGCTGGATCGTTTTAACGCAGCTCTCACAAGTGACCACTGGAGAGCGTACCTCTGCTATTTTCTTAAATCATCTTTTTCTCCTGAAAGTTGACACAAGGTCTGCGTAAGTCTGTACACTGGGGAAAAGGGGTGACTTTGAAAGACAAAAAGAGAGCGAATGAAAAGATGGCATTCACCAACATCATAAATAGCAGCTTTAATGAAATTCTTCTATGCTGCATCTGATAAAGGACGATTTGTAAATTGTCTGGGACTCATTATATATGATATATAGTCCACATGTAGCTCAGTCTCTGAGACGAGAGTGCAGAGGAGTTCCACATCAAAAACACAAACACAATACTGTGAACTGTGGTTTGTATTTCCATACTAACACAATCTGGAATAAAAAAAACCCCATTATACTCAATTTGATTATTGGTGGGATTTAAAAAAAAGGTACTAGAGTAGAAACTGTTACATTTGAAGGACTATTTTTAGATTTATTTCTTTAAAAATAAACAGCTGAAAGAATGCTGCGTAAATGGCCAGTCAGCCCAGTGAGGTCAATGCTAAATTGAATTGCTGCTATGGAAACAAGTAGCAGGAATTACCTCTCCTCTGTGATTAATGTGTTAAATATAAGCCTGGGCTCAACACAAATTAAAATGGACAACAACTAATGTGATCATAAAATAAAAAATCATCTGAAAAAAAAAAAACCCAAAAAAACCAACAACTTTTCATCACCAGGTGACGTCATTCAGTGCTCAGTTCTTTCCCATAATGAAGCCATTAAACACATCTTCTTCAGATATGCATCATCATTTACTTTGACTGCTGTTATTATTGTTCTTTATTATGTCAATTATCATTTTTCTTAATAACTTCATCTATTGGACCCTTTCATATGTATATTGCACCCTTGTGTCCAAACTGAGATGAATTTCTATGGCCTGAGTAAATCTAAGAAAAATACATCTTACAGACACCACACAAAACAATGATTTCACATAAAGCTTCAGTATCGTGTCAATTTGCATCTTTTTGTTGTCCACACCTAAAACAGTTGAGTGGTTTGTAAATTCCACTGATCTAATCAGTATGTCCTCACAATGCTGACCGGTGTAACTTGAGCTCCTTTGTTTTGCTTGGTAATTTAGATAATTACAGGACAACACTGTAACTTTGTCAGTCCTGAAAATCTGTATTTAGCATTATTTCCATTTTGTGCCTAAAAGATGATTTAGACATTTCAGATATGTCCCATCTGTTTTTCTCTAGCTTACTTGTTGCTGCCATAGTTTTTAGAAAGTACAGCTTTGAAAAAGTATAAAATGAACTCACTTACCACACTTACATTTTTACTAACAGTAGCTTGATGCTTGCCAGCATAAAACAGCATATTACATTAAGTCCTAGTCTAAATTATTTATCTAAAATATAACTATAACAGCTTAGAAAAGTGTGTAGAAATGTCTGCAGCAAATAAAAGTGTATCAAAACCAAAAAAGAGCATTATTTCACAGTTAGTCACAAAAACTAAGACACTACTTTAAAAATAACTGAGAATGTTTGTTTTTTCCTTGATAAGAAAATTACAATGAAAATAAATACATGTTAGAAAAACGGGGTCAAGAAGGTGAATATTTTTTAAAAAGCATGTTGAAAATGAAGCATTCTGGGAGGAAGAAAGCAAGAAGAAAGCAGGCAGAAGATAAAGTGAGACAAGAGTCGAATGACCACCTAAGGCAGGGGTGTTAAACTCATTTTCACCGAGGGCCACATCAGCAATACAGTTCCCCTTGAAGGGCCGATTGTAACTGGAAGACTGTATAGATCACGGATCCCCAACCCCTGGTCCGTGGACTAGTACCAGTCCATAGGTAATTTGGTACCGGCCGCAGTGGGACACAATGAAAGAAATTACTTAATTTTTAGTAAATTACTTCATTCAAAGAAAGTCATATCGATTTACTCTCTTTAAAGATAATTTGGCAAAAGATGATCTAATTTTAAAATAATATGTAATTTAGACTCTGATACTAACAGAAGTATAAATTTAACGATCCTTTGATGCTCAGTACCTTGCTACTGGGCTGTAGTAATGGGTCGTACTGGCTGACCAGTCCTTGGAACGAAAAAGATTGTAGACTTTTAATTACTTGGGTTATGAAACTGTGCTTCATGGACTTTACTAAATGCTATTTAAATTTTATTACGTGCTGTACTTCTATATTTGACATATTCTACGAGAGTCAGTTATTTCAATATTCCTTTATGCTATACACATTTCTTCTGTACGACATTTCAGTATTCCAATTATCTCATGTGTAATAATCACAACAGTTTGTGTTTTAGTATAAAATATAACCTCCATTTTCATTCCTTGTTTTTTTTAATTATTCCTTGACGCCTCTTTTTTTTAATCTTTTGTTCTGTCTAATGTGCTGCTTTTTCCCCTGCTCCTTAAAAATTTAAAGAAACCATTTTCTACATCACGAAATAAAGAAATGGTTAGAACTGGCATTTACACTTTGCACTGCATTCTATCTTCTTCGGTAGTGTGACGCCATATTTGTTACATTTAGGTTGATTTACCATTAAATATTTCAGTTAAACGACCAGTGACATGATACTACTGGAAATTTGCCGCGGGTCTCTTTTTTCACAAAATGATGGCCGTTTGGACCAATGGCCGCGCCAACAGAGGCTGGTCTCCGCCTGTTTTGGGCTCTTGGAAGAGCCTTTGACTAATCAGCGCTCGCCTCCCTGCGTTCAGCCATTTTGTAAGAAAATCAAGCTTAGGTCTGCTGCCCTACCTTCACTTCAGACCTGCAGTTTTTTTCTTGTGCAATGGACGGGTAAGTTGTGAAGGAGCGCACTTAGAAGTCGAATTTCATCATCAACACCGAACATAGACTAAGTTGTTTGAACGAGCGGTGTTTGGTGAAAGTGAACTCTTGCTAACGGCTGCTCCGCTTTTAAACGTTACACCGGAAAAGTAAAGTTGAGACTGTTTTTTCCGTCAAAACATGCAACAGTTAGCAGGGAGTCGCGCTAACTAGCATCAGCTAACCGTCGCCCGCTAACAAATGTTGATTTACGCAAGTTCGCCGTTTTGTTTGCGCTACCGAACCTACATTTACCAAACCAAACACAGTTTGGTGATTGCTGGACGATAAATAATCGAAAAAATATTGTTATTGTTTTTTTCTGCCCCGTTTACTCGCGTTCTTTCGAGCAGACTTTGTTAACTGGAGCTTTGGTAACTTGGTTGCACGGGAACTCGAGCTCTTCGTTAAAGCAACGTGTCTCATTTCCGCATTCATTTGTCTAGGGCCATGTTGAAGATGTGTGGCCTCAACAGTTCATGTAGATCAACCAAAGATTTCTTAACCGTTTTGACTGAATTTGGTAGGAAACAAAAGCAACGATGACGTTTTGTTTGTTCCTAATCGTATAATCTACTTGCTTTTTTGGGTCACCTGAATTTGACAGCACTTCTCAAAAAGCGATTGAGCGCAACCACGCAGTTCAAGGGAAACGTCGTTCAATTTTTTTTCTGTTATATGAAATTACAAAGACATGTATTTTATGTTTTCTCCATAGCCGCCTAGACGCTGACTTGTACCCTCTGGGAACCAGCTACGTCCCTGAAATCGAGTAAGTATTTTAACACAACTTCTTTCGTAAAGAAGTACATGTTACAAAGTAGCCTATGTAATTTTTTGGTGAATTGAGAAAGCCACAAAGTTCTCTTTCAAATATTATAATATAAAAGTAGGGCAGTTCAAAGGCAGATGAGAGAGTAAACATTAAAGCCAGTTTTTTCCACATAACATCAAAAGATAAAGGGAAACTGCATAAAGGCAGGCCTTAAAATAATTAGGAACTTCACTCATTTTGAAAAAACGTTTCACCGCAGTTTTTCTATACCAAGCTACATTAGTGTTCACCAGAAACAGTTCCACGTTCTACAATATTCGTTTTATGTGTTGTTTAAATGAACCACTTAAACCAAAACTGTCCAGTTTCTAAAAGGTTGTTTTCACATTTCTTTTTTTTTACTGTGTACTCTCGGGTATGAAGGGTGGATTTGGGCTTAATTTATTGATGGTCTAACTGAATTCTTTTCTGTATTTCAGCAGTGTCCATGACATATCAGTTGGCACAAAGGTAAGCGATACTTATTGTCTTCCTAACTCACATGAACTGTTTTCCTGGTGGCTGTTCTAACCATGGCTGGCACTAGAATGATGAGGAATCTGGAGAGACATCTTAGAGTCATTATTTAAAAATTGTGTGTTGTTTATATTTCATCTTGGACATGTAGAAAAGAGAAGTTATCTGGTCAATTTGTAAAACCTCCCAATATAATTACAGAAATGCAGTGTTTGACCATCACTCCTTCGCAGTAAGCTGATTCACCTTCTGAAAGATTTATGAAATGCCACCAAATGGTCAGTGTGTGCAGCTTGCACTCCCAGGACAGTGAACACTGTCTTTCTGATCATGCAGTTAGACTTTGTTTTCCTTCCTTGTTTTTTCTGTGTGCAGCGACCTTGTTAGGGAATTAAAACTTCCCGTTGTCTGTTTTCAGTGTTGTTAAAGCAGATGTGTGGGGGTTAGTGCTGTGGCTGTAGGGGAATGTTGAGAAAGGGACAATATTTTCCTCAAATGCTCGATATTTATACGCTGGCATCTGTCACTACACTGCTGTACCAGATCATGTAAAACAAAGAATCGGCAGTTAAAAGTTCCATTATGTTTAGGTTTATCTGTGTGTCGGTCTGTGTGCACGTGTTAAAGGAATACATGCTGTCAGATGTTAACCTGACAAATAAAATAAAAGTACCTGTAAAAGTAATCCATGTTAACATAGCCTACAGCAGATACTTGTGGGTGGAGTAATTGATCTCAACATAAAGCTCTAACTGTCTTTAAGCTCAAAGGTCTCCACACTGTTTAAACAATCTGACCGAGACATGGACATGCCCCACCCCCCATTCATGTCAGCTTTGCCCACGATTAACAAAGAAGCTTTTATTGAGTGCTGACGGGTGATTGAGGTGTCTGTCCTGGTGAAACCTTTTCTTTAACTTTTTGTCATTTTGCTGGATTTGATGTCCTCTGGTAATTCTGATGGAGTTATGGAGCTCTGCCATCATGGAATCTGTAATTATTCTGTCTGGGCAGAGTGTCTGGCATTCCGTGGTCACATTCCAATCGTCCCCTCCTGCCCTATGGTGAGGCATAGCTCCCTGCCCCCCCATGAATGACGAAGCCTGATCACACAGCTAAACAGGTTTATACCTGTGCTTCTCTCCTTTGTGTTTCCCCAAAAGATAATTCTGCCAATCAACACCTGACAACAGGCCAGAATGAGGTTGCTCGTGGGCAGGAAAACAAAAAAATAACTACCACATGCTTTTTTGTCTTTGATGTAATGCAATCCAGGTGCAGTGTGGCCTATAGACCTGTAGAATTTTAAATGTGGTTTGTTTGTTTTTTAATTATTTATTATGTAACTATAGTAATGAAAGTAGCCCGAAGATCTTCTGGTTCTACTTTAAATAAGATAACTCTTGTGTGCCTTATAACTTGAGTTGAACGTCTTTTATGTATCGATAAACCCTAATTTAGGGTTTTATTTTCACTTCAATTGAGTCACTGTTGTTTCGTGACTATTACACTGTTGGTATTCTGAACAAAGAGTGTTCCACAATTGACATAAATGTAATGTACTTATGTGTCAAGAATTATTTGGCACAGTGTCTGTTTCAACCTAAAAAAAATCCTTCTTTTGGCTTTGTGACTAACCTTTGTCTTTTGTGGTGCTATACAATTTAAACTTTACTCTTGCTGAAAACCACATGAGTATTCCTTTAGTCAGTTGTGGTCCCTACTTTCTAATTTCTGTGACTCAAATTTGCTTTGCTTTGTGATTTATTATTAGAACGGGAAGGGGGCAAGTCCACCCAGAACAGAAATAATCAGTCTCAGGGAGGAAGTTTATAAAACTTCTGGAAGCAGGCGTGATCTCCCTGCTCTTCCTGTTTGGAGTTAGTCTTCTGACTGATAACGTGACACAGCTCACCCATGGCCACTGAGTCAGATCTGAGCCCCTTCCTTTGTTTCTTCTGCCTTGTCGGCTCCCAGTTTTCTGTTTTCCTTTCTTAATTAAACACATTGTTTGCCCTGGTCCTCCCACCATGAATGGATTAGAATGTAACGGCTACATTAATTTAAAACTATTTCTGTTCTCAATTTAGTCACCTCACATTTCTGGCATTGGAACAGAATTGTTGAGACCCATCGTGAGATTTTCCCACACTCCTTTTAGTTTACCCAACACGCAAATGTTACTTCCGTAAAGATATCTAGTTCAGACAACATAACACAGCTTAAAGTTGCTGTCAACATGTGTGAACTGTACTGTCATCAGTTTGGCAGGCTTCAAAAAGTAGGAAGCTACGAAGAACTGAAAGCAACTACCACCCAGAAAATGGTTGGTTTGACTTAATTGGACCAAAATGAAAGTGTTGGTGTTGACACTAAGTTGGCCAAGAGTTGAGGTTTAAAACTTTGACATGTTTTCAGCTTTTGGTTAGCTTTTAACTGTTTTTATACCAACTTTTTGTTAATGTGTCTTCCTGGCTGATATTTAAACCAAACTTAAATGGTTTAACTTTTTTGCTAAATTTACTTTGAAAAACAGCTTAACTGCTTTGTTTGCATTATGTTTTTGACTGACTTCAGTGATCGCTTGTATTTAAGGTAACTTTTGCAGTTTTTAGCCTGTAAAACTTTCTGCTCTGTGGAAAACTGTGAGAAGTAAACAAGTGTAAACACCCACATACCAAACCATGTCACAGACAGTTTTGCAGCTATGTCTGCCCCAATGATTTTGTTGAACATATGCATTCAGTTTGAAAAAAAAATGGACCAACTACTTGGCCGTGAATTCCAGAAATGTCTCTGCTTTTTACATTTGAGAGTTACGATATAGACCCTTTTTTTCAGGGGCCTCTGAGTGAGACTGACCCATTTTAGTTGAGCCATCTGGAAGTCAAAGGTGGTTTTAACCAATGCTGTAGTGTTGAAATCAAATAGCTCTTTATACCGTACACTACCAAATTATTGTATGTAAGGGTTTCACAAAGATTTTCCCTCTCAGATGACCTCATTTCAAGCTTTAATTATAAGATTTTTTTTTACCTACCACAATGTGGCTTTTTCAAGGGCCAAAATCCACTGTTTGGATAGAATACTAGTAAACCTGCAAGACTGGTTGTTGTTAAAACACTGTTGAGCCCTTCAACTCCCAGAAAGCACTCGGTGCTCCATATGTCTGTGTGCTGCTGTATAACAATGCTCCCAGTTTCAGCCAGAACAGGGCTGTCATTGTAGAGGGATGCAGAGCTTAGTCCGCTGAGCCACTTCTTGTGACTGCAATACTTCATCTTGCACAACCACAAACTCACAGCCACAAGAACAACTCTGAAACAGCATATTTTATCTACTTAAGAGAGGGGGTGAGAGCAGACAGGGCTCCTTGTGTAAACACAAGACCAGTGTGATGAGGAAGGAGTGCTGTCTTTGGTTTCTGATGCAAGGTGAACTCAAGTCAAAATTGTAGGGGGAAATCTATGATAAATTAATGAAGTATGTGGTGGAAGCTGTTTGGGGAATTATATATTTACCTGCATTGTCTCAGATTTACACATCAGGATTATTTTAAGATACTGATTCACAAATTATTAAATTGCCCAAGTGTGTAAATGTAACATCAAATGTAATGTTTAAAATTGATGGGCAGAAGAGTCACCAAGCAAAGTAGAGCTAGATATGTTTAAGAGAAACATGTTTATTCATTAGTATTTAAGGAAACGGTGTAATGATTTAAAAAATTTTATGTTAGTAATGTTTGTTAAATGTCCCTGCTCATGGAATTTCTCGTGGTGAGCAAGGTCGAGTTGTTCTCATGCATGTTTGCTTGGTCTACTTCGGGTTATCAGATTACTTCCTCCTTTATCTCACAATGCCTGGTAATATGAGAGCTGTGCTCTGCACCTGCTGAGCTGCGCTGTCATTGGTGAATGCACTGAAGTAAGTCATTGTCCTCTCTCCTTCTACAGAGGGGATCCGACGAACTCTTTTCTTCCTGCATATCCAACGGGCCCTATATCATGAACTCAGGTATGGGCGGGGGTTTGCCAGTGATGGGTGAATCCTTTTTTATTTAAAGTGCTCGTTGTGTGTGTGCTGTCTGTGTTGTGTGCGTTGCCATAGTGATCAATCCATTATTCAAGAGGAACCAGAGCCTTCTGTTTCCCATCCTGATTGTATGTGCTTCTGTTTTTTCCTTGCAGCCAATGGCAACGACAGCAAAAAATTCAAAGGTGACGTCCGCAGTCCCGGTGTACCGTCACGTGTGGTGCACGTACGCAAGCTTCCAAATGACATAAACGAAGCAGAAGTTATTGGCCTGGGATTACCCTTTGGGAAGGTCACTAATCTGCTCATGCTGAAAGGGAAAAATCAGGTAAGATGACAGGTTTGAGTGACCCTTTCTTTTATGTGATGTTTTTCTCTGTTTCAGTGCCCTCTTTTATTTTTTCTATTCATTGCCTTTTGCTGGAGATGTTAAAACAAATACATACGTCTTGAACCAAAACATGTATAAATACTTTATAGCAGATTGTAAAGTTATAAATGTTAATTCATCATTGATTCAGGAATACTATATGATGTCTTTAAAAATAAAAAAAAAGTAATGGAGTCTTTTCTGCAGGCGTTTTTGGAACTGAACAGCGAGGAGTCTGCACAGACAATGGTAACCTACTACTCATCTGTCACTCCGTTGATCAGGAACCAACCCATTTACATGCAATACTCAAACCACAAGGAGCTCAAGACCGACAACTCCCCAAACCAAGTGGTAAGGCTGATTAATAGCATGCAGTTATGCACAGCACTAAAGTTTTATAATCAACTATTTTCTGACTCTTGCAGTCCAACGCTCTAAAAGTTAAAAAGCACAAAAGTAATATGATTCTTCCTTTGAGCTGTTGCGTTTTATGCGTTCAAAGCACTGTGAGGTGAAACCTAACCTGTCGAGTTTTGTATGCAAATGAAAGAAAACCCCACTGCGGTTTATAGGGTGTTGAACTTATTTGACTTATTATTTCACTGCATATTAGTTTACATTGATAATCAGAAGGCTTTTCTCCTATAGCGTGCACAGGCAGCTCTGCAGGCAGTTAATGCACTGCATGGAGGTGGAATGGGAGGCATGGCCATTTCCACCGATGTAGCGAGCATGGGAGGAGGAGGAGGAGCTCAAAGCCCTGTGCTCAGAGTCATTGTGGAAAACCTCTTCTATCCTGTCACTTTGGATGTGCTTCACCAGGTACTGGAATGTTTGTTGCACAGAAATAGAGAAATATTGTTTGTAATTGAAGACTTAATTTCACCTGAACTTGATGTGCTCAGTAGTTTGCTACTAAAGAAGGCAGCTGCCTGATGCTGCCTGGTGCATTATGTTCACACTGTCTTCTATTCATTGGAAACTATTTTTTTATTTAAATTATAACCACACCTCACTTGAATGGATGCCAAACCTACACGATGGTGAAAATACTTATTGAAACTGCACAGCAAATTTTCGAGCTGTCAGTCTAACCAGGCTCTGGTGTTATTTAACCACCTAGAATTTTGACTTACTTTTTTCTTTCTCAGATTTTCTCAAAGTTTGGCACTGTGCTGAAAATCATCACATTCACTAAGAACAACCAGTTCCAGGCACTGATCCAGTATGCAGATGCAATGACAGCTCAGCATGCTAAACTGGTAAGACTGGTGCAACGGGCATACCTTGTGAGATTCTTGACTTTTGTTGCAGGTTAAATGGGCAAAGGACAAGCCCATCACAACGTACGGTTTTAATTTTGCAATCGTTTCATTAGACATTCAATAGACATTTTCACTGGCACATTCGTTTCTTTTTGTAAAACATTTTAGAAATATTTCTTTAGAAACAAATTACTCCTTTACACATGATAATGTTCAATGTAAAAAATAATATTTTTTTTGTTACCACTTTATAATGAATATTTTATAAAGTCTATGAAGCCATGCTTTGTAATTTGTTCACGGAGGCCTGACTTCATCTTGATAAATTGTCCTTGGCGTTCCCAACAAAAGGCATTGTCTTGACAGAAGTAATTTTTGTATTAATTTCAGTGAAAAGGTGTCAGCCACACCCTAGTTTATCTTTAGGGACTGAGCCTTTTATGTTTTTCTATTATTCCCAAGCCTGCTATCAGTTTACCTCAGAAACTCCCAGACTGATAATTGTGCAATATTTTCAATCTTATTTTTTCCCCTCAGTCTTTAGAAAAAGAGTTGGTCAAATAAAAACCCTCGGTATGTCTCAAGATGTTTTCAGTGACCAAACAAGACACAGGTTTTAGTTTTCATTGCAAGATTAGGAAGGGCAACAACCTTTTGACTGATATGTCTAAACATACACTAACCCTTACTTCCAAATATGTGTATCAGAGTCTGGATGGACAAAACATCTACAATGCCTGCTGCACCCTGAGGATCAGCTTCTCCAAGCTCACCAGTCTCAATGTGAAGTACAACAATGATAAGAGCAGGGATTACACCCGACCAGATCTCCCAACAGCTGATTCACAGCAATCACTGGACCACCAGACCATGGCTGCTGCAGCTTTTGGTAATACTTGGAGCAGCATTTAGTTTTTGAAAGTTCTAGTCACACCTATGTAAGAAGATAAAATGTTCTGCTAACTTATTCCAGCTGCACCAGGTATAATCTCTGCCTCTCCTTTTGGAGGAGCACACGCCTTCCCACCAACATTTACCATCCAACAGGCAGCAGGTCAGAATGTAGTGCTTTGCACGTTAAACTTAAACCCAAGACAAACTCCCCTTGTTTACAGTATCCCAGCGCACATGTTCTTCACTCAGGTGTTATTACTTCTCTCTCACAGGTCTGTCAATGCCTGGTATCCCCAGTGCCCTGGCATCATTGGGCGTAGCACACTCCGGCATGGCGGCCGCTGCTGCAGCCGCCAGCCGGCTGGGCCTTTCAGGGCTCACAGCCACTGGGGGACACAATGTCCTGCTGGTCAGCAATCTGAACCCCGAGGTCAGTATCCTTGCCAAACCTGAGCTGGTCTACATCCTGCCCGTCAGCAGCACAGCCCTAAACAGCTAATAACCAAAACAGTCTTTCGAGTTTTACATTATGATTTACTGCCCTGAGAATCCACCATTTTGTCCCCCAATCCACCACAACTGTTATTTGCAGCGCCCCCTGGTGACAACTCTTATTAAATCAAAATGGGGGTAAAAAAAAAAAACTCTTCTCTTTTCAGGACCTCTCTGTGTTTGACCAAACCTGCTGCATTTCTTGACCTGCCACTTTGCTCACTGTGAATTTAAAGTTTATTCAAAACACTAACTTCTTTTTTTATTTTAAACTTACCATTTCATATCTTCATTTTTGTCCATTAGTTGAAATCATTCTTGAGTTGTTGGAGAGACAATATTACTTTTGTTCCCATTGTATTTTGTTAAAGATAAACACGTTTGTAATGTTTTTGTTTTGTTTTTTTGTTGAATACATATAGTACATAGTATTGTGTAAGCCCTCTCTCTTACTCATTAGCTTTACTCTCATTGTTAAACATTATTCGTATTGATTTATTTTAATTGCTTTTCAGATGTTATTGTAGATTTGATCATTTAGTCAAAGCAGCCTTTAGTCTAAAAGTACATATTGTCTCTGCCTTTTTCTGTATTTCATTGTTAATCTTTTTTTCTCTTCTTTTTCTCCTAGTGTTCCCATAGTGACAATGCATTTTAATTTAGCCAGTTCTACTGTCTGAAGCACTACATTTCTTTGTGTATACTGACCTTGTTTTTTTTACTTCCTTTTTTTCTCTCTTCTTTCTGTCCCCCTTCTCCCTCTTTTTTGTTTTAAAACATCCTTTCACCTCAACTATTGCCAACTGACTGCACGCCCCATGACCAATTGTACCCTCTGTCCACCTCCTCCTCCCCTCTGCCACTCCTGTTTATACTGTGACCTCTCCTTTTCCTCCCAACCATCCAACCCTGTACAATGTCCCAAATATGGTCCCCCTACACAACATTGAAAAAAACCCCAAAAAAAACAAAACAAAACTTTGGCACTTTATTTGGTTCCCCTGACTCTGCCACCACCTGTCCACCCATTATATCCTCTCCTCCACCTCACCTGTTCCTCCTCTCGTGCTGTTTTCCTGTCCTTCTGTACTTTCTTCATCCTCTTCGTCCCTCATGCCTCTACTTCCTCCATGGTACTGTGGCCTTCCTGTGGACCTCGCTGCCTGTGGCCTGCGGACATGTCCCGACTCCACTCCACTGTCCTCCACTCCGCTCCGTCTTTTTCCCTTGTTCCCTGTTCCCTCTCCTCCCCTTTGGCCCCCTCCTGCCCCGCTGCTCCCCCTGCTGTCTCTAAAGAGCGTTACGCCACACTGCCTCTTTATTCTTTTCGGTACGTTATCATCCTTTCATCTTCTTTATTTTATTACTACTGTTACCTGGCAAGGTGGGCATGTCTTTGTCTCATTTTGTTGGCTTTTTTTTAACCACTGATGGCTTGTCATCAGGCTATGGGGCTATGGAGGGTGGGGGGGATGTCTGTTTTTTTTGGAGTTTGTATGAACTGTTTTTGGTTGTTGTGGGTTTGTGTGAGGGAAATGAGGTGAGATCATTATACACAGCTGCAGCATTTCATTTATTTTCTCTGCTTGCCCAGCCACAAACATGCCATCGATGTCATCAATGAGACAAATTGTTTAAAGCATCATCAAATTATTGACCAAATTGTTAAAAGCATCATCCAACATATTCCATAAGTTAATGTTAAATTTTTGTTTTGTTTATCAGCAACAGTACACAAGAAAGATGAAATGCTGCTGCTCTTTTAGTGGCTGAGTTGACATATCCCATGGAAAATGTCACCAGATAATTTTTCAGTGTGTGAATGTCACTTAAACATAATGTAGATTTGTGCATGTTTTAGTTTATTCTTGCACGTCTAAAAAGCTTCCCTAAATGAAGTGATCAAGTCCTGCAGATGAATGAAACTTAATGGGAAATCCTTAATTTTTTTTTATCTCCCCTATGTTTCCATCAAAACTTCCATTTCCCCAAAAATGCCTGTCAGCTTAACTGTAGGCACTTGTAGTGTTACTTGTAGAAATCCCCAAAAACTCCACAGTAATTGTGAAATAGTCTGATAGTTATACAGTATGGTAGTTTATTAGCTCTGTGAATATGAATGTGTCTGATGTGATGATTTTGTTGCTGTGAGTGCTGTGTGAGTGCTGTGCATCTGGTCTGAAATTTGTTGACGTGTTATAACACGTGTTTTTGTTACTTCAGGTGTGTATGGCGACGTGATAAGGGTGAAAATTCTGTTCAACAAAAAGGAAAACGCTTTGATTCAAATGTCTGATGGCACACAGGCCCAGCTAGGTAGCTATGAGCTAGATATCTTTACTTCTCAAAATACTTTACTTACAAATTACATGTTTTCCCTCTATCCTTTTTTCAACATCTGTACATTGCCTCCTCCTTTCTTGTAGCCATGAGCCACCTCAATGGCCAGCGTCTCCATGGCAGGGCAATGCGCGTGACCTTGTCCAAGCATAGCACGGTGCAGCTGCCCAGAGAAGGTCATGAGGAGCAGGGGCTCACCAAGGACTACAGCAACTCACCGCTGCACCGCTTCAAGAAACCAGGCTCCAAAAATTACTCCAACATTTTTCCACCTTCGGCAACACTCCACCTCTCCAACATACCGTGAGTTTGTCACATGGGGCTTGTTTTTACTCCCACTCTCTGCCTTTGTGCTTCTAGCTTTTTCCTTTTTTCCCCCCTACTCCTTATTTTCTATATATAGGACTTTGGATTAAGTGTGCACTGTGGCTTTTTTTCATCATTACTCTAGAGACAGATATTTAGAATAAATCAAGCTATTTGAGCTTGTGAGCTTCACTGTGAGCCAGAAAAAGGCTAATGTTTTCTGTGCTGCATTCCTTAAATCTTTCAGACCTTCTGTGGTGGAGGATGACCTCAGACGACTGTTTGCCAGCTCAGGAGCCACAGTCAAAGCCTTCAAGTTCTTTCAGTAAGTTTTAGTTTTTTATTCTTTGAGTTATTTGAACTTGTCATTTGTTTGAGTTGTTTACTGTCATAGTGGAACAAAAATAGAACACATTATTTTTGCAATATTAATCTGGAGTGTTGCAAACGGCTTAGCTCAATGTACATATGTACCTTTTGGTTTTGGCTGGTTTGATTATTTTGCTATTAGTGATTGGCCTTTTTCTGTGCTTTGCCATTTGAAAATTAAATCCTAGTTCAAAGGTACATTTAAATCTTTCAATGGTGGTACCTGCTCTAAAAGTTGTAATGTATATTTTGCAAATTATAAACTGTATAAAAGCCATTGACATGCAAAATATATATATATATCTTTCACTCACTACACAGCAAATGTTTGAAAACAATGGCCAATTTAGCAAGCTCTATTCGACACATTTGTTTCCTCCTTTTTCACAGGAAAGATCGTAAGATGGCCTTGATCCAGATGGGATCAGTCGAGGAGGCCATCGAGTCACTCATCGAATTCCATAACCACGATCTGGGAGAGAACCACCACCTCAGAGTGTCCTTCTCCAAGTCCACCATCTGAGTGCCTTCCCCTTCCTCCCTCCAACTCTATTGCCACCCTAATGTTGTGCATTAGAGTGGAAATGGACACACAATGTTTGTGGTTGTTTCTGTGCAGTGTGTTGGTTCCTTTTCTAAGTTCTTAAAAATTCTGCGTCATTATTAGATTTGGGCATCTGAGTTGATCAAAGGTGCTCTGGGTTCCGCTTCGGATTTCGGAAAGCGGGATATTATATCTTATAGCTACATTTTAACAAGGAATGAAACCAACATTTTAGTATCTTTTCTCCCTAAACATATTCTTGCGTTAGCTCATCATTAAATATTAAAGTGCGACATAACAGATGTAGACAAGTTAATGGGTATTCTTCTCTATTTCTGGCACTTAACAGTGGCTGGATCCCAGTGTTTACAGCAATGTGAATTGTGCACTTGACTTTTTCAGTTTGCATGGGAATAGGTTCTTTTAAGCAGCTCATATCCAGCTTTAGTTTTGGGGCACATTATGACTTATCAGTGAGATTGATGACATGCTGGTGGACCTATGGTCACTTTAAAATCTCTCCTTAACCTCATTCCATATTTGTATTGTCTTAATATGATAATAAGGATGAAGGTCCATTCAGGCCCTTGGTGCCCAAACCTAATTAATGATTAATTCCATCCAGAAGTCTTAAGTAGAACAGGAAAGGGTCAACATTATGCACAGGATACTTGTCAAACCTTAATGATTTGAAAAGGATTATTTTTATAAGGAGGTCACACCGAGGTAACTAAAGTGTCACATTAGACAATACAAGAAACATAACCTTCATCGACAGACGTGGATAAAAAAAGCAATCCCCACGCGACACACTTCATCATTCCTCTTGCTATAATAATTGTGTGGATTTACCTGTGTGTGCCTTCTAGAAATGCCACTTTTGAAGCAGTTTGGCCAGTATGTTCATAGTTTTGGGAAGGGGAATTTTGTTATGGCTCACAGACCTTCATTTTACTTGTATCTCTCAGTACACGTCTTTTTAATCTTCCCAGAGAATTTTGGGGAGGAATCCAGACCACTATCTGAAGTTGTGAAAAAACAAAACAGCATCCACGGTCATGTGCCTTACTTTCATTCCAACCAGATTGCCTTAAGCATTGCTCTGGCTTCATTTAACAAAATTGTGGTTTTATGGCAAAAAAAAGAGAAGCCTTTTTCGTTACCAGCATAGTTAAAAAAGTGAAAGTGGCCCAGTCAGTCTTGAGTTACTTATCTACAGATTTGTTAAAAATATAGTCTCATATATGTAGAATCTATGAATGTAAGTCAGTTAGATGCCTAATATCCTTGCTAGGAGATGTAGCTCTGTTAGGTGTATGGTGGCAGGAGTAGAGCTGTCAGCAGCTGTCCTGTCCTACAGTCTCCGCTCACCCCCTTCCACGGGACAGTGGTGGCTGGGGGCCTCATTTAATCATTTTTACGTTCATCTGTATGTGGACGCATATATTCATTTATCAATTTGTTTTGTTATTTTTTTTTATATATTAGCATTTACATGTTTATCACTTTTAAACTTAATTGTTAAGTCTTTCAGTTGTGGTTGGGTTTAAACAGTATAAGCAGTGCCTTCATTGCTTTAGTTAAAAATCTGAAGCTGAGACAGTTGACCTGTTTACCTCTCTTCCAGCTGTTTAATCTTACTCTTCTACAGTGATGCCTTCATATCAAATTAAGATTAGGTAATCGTGTGAATGAGCAGCTGGGAGGTGTCTGTCAACCGTTGTTAAAGGAGAATTCCTAACTTTTCAACCTACAGAAATGTTTGCGGTCATCAACTTCTGCCAGTAGGGTTCAAAGAAACCTTTAGGCCAAAACCCCAAATTTTTACAAACCTTTTTTTTTTTTTGGCTGCTTTTTGTGCACAAAATATCTACCCAGTGCTATGTAACATTTACACTCATCAAAGTGTTAATGAAAATACTGTTAATTGAACATGATAGTGGAGACAGCATCCCTACAGACCAAGAAGTAGGCTTCTAGTGGCTTGAGTGACTTTTATAGTTAAAATATATTAAGTAGCAAATACTGCAGCCTTCCTGATAGACTAACCTTTGAAAATTCAAAAATTGACTTGCTGAAATAAAATATTTTTTTTATCCTACTGGCAGTAGTTGTGACCTCTAACATAATAGATTTGTGTTGAAAACAATTCACCTTTAATAATAGTTTTGAATACGGGGTAACAGGATTATATAGTTGGGGCTAAGACCTCCCAGAACCCCTTTCTGTGTCCACACAGTCAGGTTCTTTAGTGCACTTTTTCTCATTGGTAGGTCCAAGTTTTGGCACCATCACACTCAAAAGTCTTAAAAGTCATCACATTCCTGTGTGCCTGAAAGAAGCACCACCAACTTTTTTTTGTTTTGTTTTGTTTTTGGACCACTGTAGTTGTGGACCAGAACCAGATCTTCTGTCTCCATTTTTTTGTATGATTGTTATTATGCATGATTTAACAAACAACAGCTTCATGTAGCTGCAGACGGTTATTGCTGTTTAAGGACCAAAGTTATCTTCTATCCCTGCTGGTTTTTC